GGGGGGGGGGAGGGCTTTTGATGTGGCACTGATTAGTGGAATTTCCTTTCCAGTGCTGACTTCACTGACAACATTTTCATTTTTAATGGCATAGAGGTTGTGCAGCTGTGTATTACAGGGCTGCTAAAATAGGTGGTCGAAGAAGAATATATTTAGTGTAGCATTTTTCTTGACTGTTTGTGGTTTTGCAAAGCTATTGATTAATTGCCTCCAATGTATTGACACATCTCTCCACCAGGCCTCAGCAACATCATGCACCCTTCCAACACTCTTTGCTTCCAAATGTTAACCTGCAGGCTGATGCTTCCCAGTGTAGAACATCATTGTTTAAGTCCTGGCAGAGAAAATATCAATCCATTGTGTGTATTGTCATACCTTCATGATTGTGTCTAGATTGTAACTCTAGATCTGCAAAACTCTCTCAAGATGGTTCCTAAGAGAATCATTTAATGTAATCCTAACCATAATCAGTTGTGGATAGCACACTTCACAAGAGTTTTGCTTTGAGTGTCACCATCTTTGCATGACGATTCTTCACATACATCGTTTTACTGTATATGGACTTACTTCTTATGTAGTTACATGTAGTATAAGGACTAGCACTCATCTACCATATCCATTGTTTTTAAACTGTGCAAAATAAGAAAAGAAAAAGTAATTGTTTGATTGTGTATTTTACTGTAGGCAGCTTCCATGCTCCAACTTGCACCTGTGCTGTAACAAAGGTGCCGTTAAGAGGCCTTGATAAACTTAAGGTTAACCCCTAAAAAATTTAAATTAAATGAAGTTACAATGCAAAACATAAAAGGACGAAAATGCTGAAGAGACTTCATGCCAACAGGAAGTTTCCTATTTTTTTCAGGTTTAAGTCGAAGCACCTTGTTACAGACACCACGTTGATGGCTGCAGTTATGGAAAGATGGGCATGGTCAAAGGAAACCAATGTGTTTTTGTTGCACAATTCATACTAGTTCAATGTGCTTTTGCACTGGAAGTAAGCTCAACTTTTATGCCACCCTGATACATAATTGTAACCTTTAGCCAATCAAGAATCCTCTTTACTTGCATTTAATGTGTTTCAGTGAAGGGCCTTCGTCAGGGTGAGGAAGTATAGTTTGAGGCTATGTCATAGTAGAGAGAATATATTGAAATATGTATAGTATATTAACAAATGATACAGTGTAATTGTTCAGTACTAACGGTGCAGGGCTGCTCTGCTCTTCAACAGCTTCCATGGCACACTGCAGGGACCTCTGAAGAGACAGAAGCTGACTGGATGTCTCTCTTAGCATGAACCTGGTGACAAACTGGCCCAACACACTGGAACCCAGGTACTCCTGAGAGACAGAGTGACGCACAGAAGGACAGGTTTATTCCCATATTGCACAACTAGAAGCAACACAAAATTAAAAGCAATTCAGAGACAAGACACAATTCTCCAAAACAGTACCAGGTAGACCTTTGAGGCAGCTGCAATTAAATGGGCTAATTAATTATTTGAACACATGCATTATTCAGTACCTCATATCCAAACTCCAAGGTGGAAGGATTCTAATAGGTGCCATAATTGTTGCTTGCATCCCTAAACACAAATATGATTATGCACTCTCAAATGAGTCTTTGCATGCAATGTGCTACTAAAGTAACAGCGCAGCTCTCTGTGTCCAAGCTTAAATTGACAAGTAGCCCCTAGTGGAAATTCATCATGGAATTAGCAGTCCAGAGCACAGGCTGACGGACCACAGCTGCCAACTAGCTATTGCAAAATCCTCTATGGAATTGTCCCACTCCAATACCTTCAGAAAAGATCCAGATCAGAGGAACAAAGGGATCTAATTAGGACAGGAAGCATAATCATTCAGCAGACATCTCCTCCCCTATTTTTGTTTAACAAGCATTGATGTTTACTGTTGTATTACAAGTCAAATCCTTGATTCAAGGTTGTTACCTAAAAATAATTGAGGCAATTTTACAATATCATTTTAACTGCAATTAAATAATGCATGCTCTGGGGAGGTTAATGTTAGGTTTATTTGGGCTTTTTGTTTTGAAAATACATTAGAAACAATCTGAGATAAAACATTGTAATGATTATCTCAAATCTCTGCAGTAACTATATACAGTCTTTCTAAATATGAGGCAACCTCTACCAGCATGTTAACTTATCTTAGCAAGAGACTGAAAACAAGGGGAGACCGCTAAAATCTGCCTACTTATTTAGCAAATGAACATGTTGTCTTTGTATGTAGTTAATTAAACTAATGAAAACGATAATAAGTTAGCTTTAGTGGGTCGATTAGCAGATTGCCTTACCACTGGAAAGAGAGCAGATAGCTGCTAGTTGCTAGTTGGTCTTATTCTTGTTGCAAAGTTTGTGTGTGTGTGTGTGTGTGTGTGTGTGTGTGTGTGTGTGTGTGTGTGTGTGTTTGTGTGTCAGTTTCATAACATAGCCTACTTATATTCACTCGGCATGTGTTTTAATACTGAACAAACTTGATTTAAATCGAATTCACATAATGCAAAACGTACCTCTTTAGTTTTATCCATAGCTTTTAGAATGGAAATATTCAGACTCTCAAGAGCTGAAAGTACATTCAGATACTCCCCCAGGTGCTGAGAGAAATAATCTAATAGGAAACAGTAAACAAGCTGTAAATGTCATTGTAATATCAGGACAGTCAAAAGTGTATATGTTGCCATGACAGATAACTCTTAAAATAAAACCATGAAAAGGTCTATTAGGATATTTTAAAGATGGGAAATAAAAATATCCATATGTAGTTTTCTAAACAGGTTGTGTTAATATGAATTCAAAGTTGACATGCCAGTGCACCAATAACACTCAATGCTCCCCATGAAAAGAAATGGATACTGTGTACAGTTGGGGATAGGAGCCATAACAAATTATTGGATAGCAGATATAACCAAATGATGAATAAACTCCTACACATGTTCAATATACTGTCACGACTAATTGAGTTCAGAGAACTTAGAAAAAAATAAAATTGATAAAAGTAAAGATGTGCGGGGAAAGTGCTTCAAAGCAGATTAGTGAAGCAGAGAAATGCTTTAATATAAATGAGTTCTTTGCTCTTAATTAAAAACAGACTTCCATTTAACCAAAGAGTACGGAGAGACCTGAGGTTAATGGATCAGTAGCACCTTGCACACTCTTCTTACATAGATTCAATTAGGTTATATCCCTGAATTGAAGCCTGTCTGAAACTCACACTTAAAAAAAACTGTAGAAGGAAGACCTTGTCATGGAAAACATTCAACTTCTATTGACGTCAGATGGAAAAAAAGCTATTTCCACTCAATAAATGATGCAGACATTTTATTCTGGGTACAAATGTTATTTACAGGTCCATGCCCTATTTCATCACTTTATTGAGGCCATTTGACACACATGCATTTATAAGATGATTAAAAAATAGGGCAATAGATCCGTGCCATGTTGTTTTCTTCATACTGACAGATTATATCAGTGTCTCAGATGAATGTTGATTGTGTTGTTGGTTCTAGCACATTATAATATTTATTTCACTAAACAAAATCTAAAGAACAGAGAGGACTTAAGGAATAGTAAGACATTTTGGAAAATCCCCATATTGTCTTTCTTATGGAGAGTTGGAGGAGAATAGTGAAACCAAAATGTCAAACTATTGCTGCAAAGATTTTCCGTGCTACTAAATCCTTAAGAATATGGATACACAAATAAGACGATCTCTGATGTTGGTTTATCTTAAAGTGGACCTATCATGCTATATTTGAAAAATATATTGTAGGGCCATACCTATACAAAACATGTCTGTGAAGTTTTTTTTTCAAAATACCAAACAGATCACCCATTGTAGCCATGCCTCATATTGCTCAAACCCCTCTTTTGAAGCCCTGTTAGAGAAACGCAGATTTTGGGTCCTTAGCTTGAAAAAATGTAATAAGAGAAGGCAGAGCTAATGCCTGATCAGAATTCTACCGGAGATAAAGTTAAATTCAAACCACGTCAAGGATTATTTCTGAAATAGTATGGAGCTCAAATGCTTTTTCTCTTGCAGGTTTATCACAAGGTGAGTTCCTTTTTTTATTTCCTGCTTTTTAAACACATGTGCTCTTCAGTACAGGTTAGCTCTGAGTGTTAGCAAGGCTTGCTTATGTAAACAAAGAAGAGATTACGTCCAAAACACGTCAGGCATTGTTTCTGATAGCAACTTTCTGCGGGTCCACCGACGTCACAGCGGATGGAAATCTGTATCCACTCGTTGTACACCCGTTTTTAAAAGATTTGGGTACGGAGGAAAAGAGAGAGGGTTTTATTTTCTGACGCTGTGTGAGTTCTCCGACGCAGCGGGGACACATATGTATGTATAAAAGACATCACAAAGTGCATTTTGCATGATAGGTCCCCTTTAAATACAGCAGTTCTATTCAAATGAAAGTAATGTTGCTTATTAAATCAGATAATGCACCAACCTGATAGCTTGTCCGTTTCCAGATTGCTGCAGGGCATAACATAAGAGGAGATAAATGGCAAATGTATTGAGAAAGTTAATTAGGGAAAGTCAAAGTCACGCTGCTCTCCAATTCTGCAAGATAAGACAGCACAGATAAGATGTGTTAAACATATTTGTAAAACGTAGGCGTATAATAAGCACAACACAAGCATTCATATTAGTTCTGCTTGGATAGTGCTTTGCAATCTCCGTGAACAATACAGTATAGCTTTTTCAAGATAGAAAAACAAGTTAAAACAGTTATGTGTTTCTTTCCTTACTCCACCGTTGTAAAAACATTTGAATCAATATTCCTTTGTTTAACTGTCCCGGCACAAATTATTACATTGGATGTTAAATTGTTCTCAGCTTGGTAAAGGCGGCATCATTATTAAGTATATGAAAAGTTCCCGTGTTGCTTTAATGACATATTTCAGGTCATTTTCACTGCCAGCTGCACACCACAAATGAAGTTGCGTTATGGCTGGTGTTCTCATTCATAACACTCCGTTCGATGTCTCACTATGGGATGCGCCTCATCCGTGGAGCAAACAGAAGCATCAATCTCATTACGCCAATCCTGATTGGCAGGTGATCTTGACGTCAGCGTCAGGGAATCCACCCCCTATAAGTAGCTTGCGCTACGCCGCATGCGTCATTCAAACACCTCTTCTCGCTTCAGAGCACATCTCTATAATAAATCTACACCGTCGCTTTTCTCCGGATTAAGGACGGGTTGGAAGATTTTTTCGGGAACGTTCCTGTTGAGAGCGGGCCCTCTCCACGCCGTCAACACGGCGGGCAAGATGGACGCCTCTCTCCCTCACACCAGAGGACTCAGGACCTCGGTTGCTCGGCTCTGCGACTGTGGGCTAGGGAATGCTCCGGTTTTTGGACAAAATTAACATGGGATCACTCCGGTCAATGGACGTACTTCGTCTCACTGGAATATTAATGGCCAGATTGAATACAACATCGACCCAATTTCTCCGGTCAATGACAGGAGAGTTTTGAAAGT